AATAATAATAATACTGTGGCACCTTACAGGCTAACGGCTATATTTTACCGTGACCTTTTGTGGATTAAGTCCTCACATTAGGAGTTATTCTTCAAGGTGCTGCAACTTTTTCCCCTCTTGTTGTTTTGCTTTTTTGATCTGAAATGCTGTATAGACTAACACGGCTATTTCATTGAAACTACTAACATAATATTCCTTTATCTCATATAATCTAGCCAGAAGTCCCTCCTCTCTGTCTTATCACTGAATTTGCTTTGTCTGTGTACTATACATGAGACAAGACACTAAGAACAATTTGAGGGCTCAGCTGGAGAAGTAAACTTGAGATAGTCTGAAAGGAAAAAAAATGTCCTAGAGCATGGTTACATGTGGGGGAAAATGTTTTGATGTACAGCATGCTTGAAATAGATTTTTAGAAAGGCGACTACACAATGCACATGGAGGAAGCACAGATTGTTTTTCCTGGGAAGCAAGGTTTTTGGTTGGAAAATGAAATATTTCGTACAGCTGTGAGAGGGTCTTTTATTTTAAATTGATTGTGAACTTGATTTATTTTGAATTTTGACATGCATAAATGCCTGTGTTGGTGTAAATTGTTTCTATAAGGCTTGCTACTCACTGGTGTGCCTTCCATGAGTTCTCCCCTTCTCCACACCCCCCCTCTCTCTCTCTGTGTTCTTCCTACCTTTGCAAGCCTAATCAATGTCTTTGATCAGATTCAGAGGTAGCACCATGTCTTCCTCCTTTGCAAGTGTAGTCCATCTAGTCCAGTGATTCCCAACCTTGGGTCCCCAGATGTTCTTTGACTACAACTCCCAGAAATCTGGGCTAGCACAACTAGTGATGAAGGCTTCTGGGAGTTTTAGTCGAAGAATGCCTGGGGGCCCAAGGTTGGGAACTCTCTCTCTCTCTCTCTCTCTCTCTCTCTCTCTCTCTCTCTGTGTGTGTGTCTTTATGTCTCCGTGCATTTGTGTTAGGCTGCTTTGTTTTATTTTTATGTTTTCTATCTGTCATTCTGTGCTAGTGTTATGCTAGATTGCAAAAAATAAAAATAATAAAAAATAATACCTCAGCAGTAGCAGCTGTGAAAGGCAGCCACTGCAAAGGAGGGTGCAAGACAAAGCCTCAAATGCAAAGATTCTAAAAGCCTGTGTAGCGCCCTCAACCGATATACAACACAGTTTTAAAATGGATTTAAAGTTTTCCAAGAGGATGCACACACTGACCCCCAAACCACTTGACTTTAAACCAAATGAAAAAAAACACCAGTCCATCACTTGATTCATTTCATTAGTGTAAATACATCCCTAGCCATTTTATCCAAATTCTGCCACCAAAGAGCCACAGTACTCACATAATTATCTCTTGCAGACCAGCCTGGATAGAGCTGCATGTGAAGCTGCCTTTCCTTGCGAGCCAGCTCATAGTACTTGGCCTGTTCCTCTCGCGACAGTGCATGCCACTGCAATGGAAACCAGAGAAAACTTCTTAAGTCACCCTCTAGTACTAGCACTCTGATCAGACAAGTGCAAATCCTGGATTGGATCACATCTGGGGAGCCTGAAGCCCTCCAGATGTCACCGAATGACCATTCTCATCACCCCCAGTGTAAATGAATCCTAAAGCCTAAGTAGGGATATATATACAATTTTGTACGCACTTCACAGTTTTCATTCTGCATCAGTAGTGTTCTGGATCCAGGATTCGTCATCTCAAAACACTTGGACTTTCAGAGAAAAAGGACTATGAAATAATCTCTCTCTATCCTGCTTTTCTGTTCCCTCTGAACTCTAAAAGCCTGTGTAGCGCCCTCAACCGATATACAACACAGTTTTAAAATGGATTTAAAGTTTTCCAAGAGGATGCACACACTGACCCCCAAACCACTTGACTTTAAACCAAATGAAAAAAAACACCAGTCCATCACTTGATTCATTTCATTAGTGTAAATACATCCCTAGCCATTTTATCCAAATTCTGCCACCAAAGAGCCACAGTACTCACATAATTATCTCTTGCAGACCAGCCTGGATAGAGCTGCATGTGAAGCTGCCTTTCCTTGCGAGCCAGCTCATAGTACTTGGCCTGTTCCTCTCGCGACAGTGCATGCCACTGCAATGGAAACCAGAGAAAACTTCTTAAGTCACCCTCTAGTACTAGCACTCTGATCAGACAAGTGCAAATCCTGGATTGGATCACATCTGGGGAGCCTGAAGCCCTCCAGATGCCACCGAATGACCATTCTCATCACCCCCAGTGTAAATGAATCCTAAAGCCTAAGTAGGGATATATATACAATTTTGTACACACTTCACAGTTTTCATTCTGCATCAGTAGTGTTCTGGATCCAGGATTCGTCATCTCAAAACACTTGGACTTTCAGAGAAAAAGGACTATGAAATAATCTCTCTCTATCCTGCTTTTCTGTTCCCTCTGAATTTAGCTGCAATCCTCACAGCAACTGGGAGAGAAATGGATTTTACATGGAACAGTATACTTGCAAGCTATCGCTGTTGTAATGCAAAGTGTCTGAGGATGATTTGGTTTTGAACAGTTAATTAAGAGCTATTGACTACAAAAGATCAGGTCCTCAGTATGAGCTGTTGATATGGGCTGACCCAGGTGCCTGTATTTTTGGATTCTTCTCACTGGGGTGTGTGTGTTGCTATGTTGACTGTCATGGTGGACGCCTGCACATTCAAATTTATTGCTACAGCATTGTTCAGTATTATCTGCTGTTACATAACAGGCCGTAAGCCTTAACTATGCAAACTGTATGCAATTGTTTCTTATACAGAACACAAAGCTCTGAAAAATTGCATTGCTCAAGTAAGATAAAATTGTGTTGAACAAAGTGTGAAGTCCACAGGAGACTAAACAAACTTTAGGACCTTCAAAGGACCATGCATTTGCAATCTAAATCTTAAGCAAAACCATCCTGTAGTGTTTCTTGGCATTCAGTGTAGAGTTGTTTGGCTGAGCTGTTTGTGCCCACAAGAGAAAGAGAAAGTTGTGTATCTAAGAAAGATACACTGAGACCATCAATTTTGGGCTTAAAAGAAATCCAGGATCAAAAATCTTAGTTCAATTATGATAAATATATTGCGTGGCCTTTGGTAGGTCACAACATCTAACTTTCATTTCCCTATCCATGCAATGGAAATTTGGTCTCATCCCCTTTCAAAGTACAGTGGTGCCTCGCAAGACTATTTTTATTCATTCCACGAAAATCGTCGTCTTGTGAAAAAATCATCTTGCGAGGTTCCTTATGCATCAGTCTAAAAAAAAAGTCTTGCAAAGCATCGGTCTAAAAAAAATCTTGTGAAGCATCGGTCTAAAAAAAAAAATCTTGCGAGGCACCGTAGTGATCGCAAAAACCAATCACCTTGCGGGTTTTTTGTTCCACGAGGCAATCGTCTAGCAAGGCACCACTGTACTTGGAGAAGGCAAAGCAGTTTACATATGGAAAGTAATCTAGAAATGATTGCCAAGTGTTGTTAAAAGTCTCCTGAATTTGGATTCTCTAGAGGTGGATGAAGGTTGGCAAAAGAATAGCAAAGAAAAGAGTCACAGAATTTCAGAGAACTGACCCCAAGGATCATTTAGTTCAGCCTCATGAAGCATGAAAATTCACAGCTAAAGCCTTCCTGACAGATGGCTATTCAACCTCTGTTTAAAAATCTTAAATGAGGGAGGTGGTTGGATAAAAAAAAAATCTTGTAATGTAGAAATTCTTGAAGATGGCTTAGGAAATTCATAATGATGGATAGTCCAAATAAATGCATTCAAACTGAAAACAACAGTTGTTCTAAAGCCAGGAATTGAGAAAACAAAACCTCAGACTTGTAAGGGTTTGTTTGGTGTATTTAAAATCTATTGCAAGACATTCCAGTTGCTCAAAGAGCTATAGCTACGATAAGAACAGTGGCTTTAAAACCCTTATATAACTGTAAGAGTGGGAAGGGCCATCAAGCCCAACCCTGTCAGAGCAGAGGGAGCATGCTTGATGGAGCTACTCTCTGTGCAGGGCACAAATCTCTGTCCCTGTTTCACTGGCACATTTTCTCTCCCTGCTGTTAACTTTCTTGGTAAACACGATTCTCTCTCAACAGCAGCATATTATTTCTGCCATCAAGGATACCTGTGATTCTCTAGGAAATTTTGATCGCAAATGAACATTCAAGAAGCGACACCATCAAATATGAAGACCCAACCGAGTTGCAATTCCTTTCTGAACTCAGTGGATGAGTATTGGCTGTTGGTAGCAGTTAGAGCAGAACCACTGAACTAAGAGTATTTACATTAGTGTCAACATAACAAGTTTCATTCATTCAGTGAGTTATTCCAGTTGGGACGAAGAAATGAGTTTAAACCCCCCCCCCCACCATCTCTGGAAGTGTTGAATAATCAATGCAGCAGTGAACAGCCATAATTCCTGTTTGGTCATCATCATAACACCACTACTTAGCGGGCACTCTTACCCGCCTTCCTAAAATCTGATTGATGGCAGCACTTTCTTTCAAGGTGCACTCAGCAATGACCTTTGCCCGCATTTCTTTCATATACAACATGAAGGCATTCAAGGGCTTCTTGATAGTAGGCTTCTTGGCTTCCTTTTCTCTCTTTGGTTCTGGTTGTGATTTCCTGTCCCAAAAGAGAAAAGTAACAATAAAATATGGCTTCCACATACCAAACGACCAATTATCAGTAAAAATGCCAGTTGCTGGGAAAATACTAAAAACTATGATCCAAAGGCTGGACCTAGAAGTATTTAAACAAATCACGTTCAAAACAAATACATCGATTAAAACAGTGGTGCTAAGGCTCCAGCATCTCCAGTGGCTACTTCAAGAGACGCAGAGTGGAACTTGGTTGGATCTCCTGACCTGCCAAGCAGTTCTCACCTTCATCAAATTGAGATCAGACTACTTTAATGCGCTCTATGTGGGGCTACCTTTGAGACTGATGCGGAAGCCTCAAATGGTCCAGAATGCGGCAAGCAGACTTCTCACGGGTGAGAAAATATCAGCATATTTTCCCCACTCTGGCTGCACTGCATTGGCTGCCCATTCATTTCCGCATTGATTTCAAAGTGTTAATGATGACATATAAAGCCCTAAACAGTTTAGGACCTCGATATCTAGCCGAATGCCTCCTCCCACCTAAATCTACCTGAAGCACTCGTTCTAGCCAGGAAGGGCAGCTGAGGGGCTTAATGCTGAGGGAGGCCCAGAGAGAAAGAAAAAGAAACCGGCCCTTCTCGGCAGTGGCCCCTCGCCTTTGAATAGTCTGCTCCCAGAGATCTGTCTGGCTCTCTTGCTGGGTGTTTTTAAGAGCAAATGTAAGACCCGGCTCTTTAGGAAGGCTTTTCCTCCTGTCATCACCTGATTATTTTTCCCATCTTGAACTGTATTATTACTGTTTTAATTTTATTATGTTGTTTTTACTTTCATCTATTATTGTTAGCGGCCCAGAGTAGACTTCGATCTAGATGGGCGGGGTATAAATTTAATAAATACATAATAAAATAATAAATAATAATAATTAAAGTAAGTGCTGCCACATTTTACCATGCCAGATTGCAGAATTGTAAGTCACCTAGGTGAGGGCTGGGCAGCTGACAACCCTCCAGATGTTTCTAGATTGCACCTTCCCTCATCCCTCACCCCTAACTGTGTTGGCTGGGTCTTACAGGGCTTGGAAATCCCACAACACCTGGAAGTTCATTAATTTGCCCATCCCTGGTCTGATGCATCTTCAAAAGCAGACAATGTGAGAGGCCTTCCTACTGTCCTCCACTGGAAAGGGGTCCTCCTCAACTGTGCTGTTTTTTGTTTGTTTGTTTATTTATTTAATAGCCCACCCATCTAGTCCTATAGACTACTCTGTCCTCCCCACAAAGCTGTATCTCCAAGATCTGTCCACTTACATGCTGCGGTCATAATAATCCATATCTTGTTTCCCAGAAGAAGATGTGATTCCTGGGTGTGGGATTCCTGCTGTATGCATCCCAGAGCCAAGCACTAATGGGTGTGTGATCCTGTAACACAAAGCAGGTTTGTAAACTGCCTGGACATTCTGATCCATTAAGTGACTCCAGAGTTTTGGCACTACAGTTTGATTTTGTCTCTAGCTGTCGGAGACCAGGCCCTCTCAAAGAATGCGCAGGCGGGCTATTTGATGGCAAGTGTTGTAAGAGAAAGAGCAACTCTACACTAGAGGACAACTCCCCAAACACACGCACAGCAGAAATGTCATGGCTGGTTTCTAAAGACTTCTGGCACTGAAAAAAACCTCAATCACATGGCCTCTTAGTTACATGGTGTGATGTAACTAAGGCCAATTCTATTGCAGGCCATTCTATTGCAGGTAAGCCAAGCTGGGACGTTTTGGTGACTTCACAGATCTGTCCCCTATAATGACTTGTTTTTCAGATAGTGCCCACTAGGTGGCACTCTTAGAGCTCTTTTCCTGCTGTACCCACATTTGGCAGCAACAAAGAGTAATGAAATGTAATTCAAGCTTACATTACTTGCAAAACGACCTTTTCATTTCCATCCACATTATCTTAGCTTATCCTGACGTACTGAAACCAAAGCATTCTTCCTGAACTAATAACACGTAAGAGTGCTCTTGGTGAAGCTGATGGCAATGCTGAGTCAGGCAATGCCTGACTTGGTATTTTCTGCTTACCAGCGCCAGTAATTAAATAAAGGCTACAAGACTTAATTTGGTGTTTGATTAAACTTAAAGAGCTCTACTTAACAGTTCTCTAGATCAGTCTCCATTTCCAATGAAAACAAAAACAGATTGGAGGAACATTTTGTTCGGTTTTCTAAAGCACAAAGCACTTCAAAATAGGTTTTTAAGGCAGGACCTCTTGGTCTTGACAAGTTGTAACCCATGGTCCTAATCACACACTTTATGTCATCTGTGGTGCAAGATTTTCATCTCGAAAAGGTCCAACCTGGCATCCCCTGTCCAATGCTCAGATCTCACTATATTGTTTTACGTGTTGCCACTGAAACAAAATGACCTTCTCTGGACCATTTCTCAGGCCACTGGGGCTATAAAATCAAATCCTAGAGATTAACAGTTTATACAGCCTTTGTCGGCGCTGAACAATACTTCCAGCAGAGAAAGAGGAGGCTGTCGAATTTCCAGGCGTTCTGACTGAAGTTGAGAGAGCAGATTCGCCCATGGGAGACAACCAACTGTTCATTAGCTCTCTTAGCATAAAAATAAATAATGCTTGATTTTAATCTACCGGCATGGCTTGAAGCTTGATCATTATCCACCAAGGTGTGTGTTCTTGTCTGCAAAACCTGCCTCACACTCCTCCATGAGCGGGGATGCAGGTGAGGTGAAGGATGACACACCGTCGGGCAACTAAGGAGGTCTGTAAAGTCATTTATCTTCAGCACTGAGACACTTAGGCAGGAGTAGGTGCCTTAGGCAGACTGCACATTAAAGTAATAACAATAATACTATAATTGCTATAACAACGTACCTTTTCAGTCCTGCTGTTCCGAGAGCAAGTCCCAGAACATACGATTCAGCCCTCCTAGGAGGGCAACACATAGCAGAAGCCATAGCCAGAGACACAACAAGTGACATTTGCAAACATATATTCCCTGCCTGGTTAATGTTGGACCTTCTCAGAAGAAATGGAAAAGAAGGAAGTTGGCCTCGGTTCCTTCTGTGGAACTCTTCACGGCTTACAACAAACAGCACCAGGAGGGGTGGCGCAAATCCATGTTAACTGGTCAGATTCTGTGGTACTGAAAAGGAAAGCCGGATGTGCCCCCTTTTGGAGACAAGTCCCTGAGAAACAAATATCACAAGCTTTTGCATTGTTTCAAAAATGGGGGGGGGATCTCACCCTGTTTAACCAGAGGCGACAGTAAGCGTGTATCATCGGAAGTGAATCCTTTGCTCAAAACCCTTTCAGCTCTCTTGAAAACTATTTTTTGTTTCCAACCATAAGAAAATAAAGAGTTATGTGGAAAGTCTAGCCTGCAATGGGGCTGCTCACTTTGTAAGCATCTCCAGGAAGGTTCTCTCTCTTTACTCTCCTACTCTCATTGACCAAAGCGAACATTGTGCTTCTCTTTTATTGGAGTTTAAGACAACTGCAATTTCTCCTCTTAAAAAGCCATCTGTGTACAGCAGTAGGATTTCTTCCTTCCCCCTGTTGCTGCCACCCAGAAGCTGGAGAACCTCCCTTTTTTTTCTCCCCTGTTGGCTGGAAGGTTGGGATGGCGTGGACTGCGACAGAAGCAGAGCAATTTGTCCTGGCTTAGGCAGCTCATACTCACCTAGAGAAAGTAGCCCCAGCCGAGAGCGCCGACGTATAGGGCTGTCTAAATCCACATGACTGGAAAGGACAGACAGGCTGGCTCTGCCTGGGAGCAGGAAGAAAGAGTCCATAAAGCATCTACACCCATGTGATTCCCCACCCCTCCGCAACTTGTACACTTTCTTCCTAACCTGGAATTACCACTGATCAAAGGCTTGTATTTTGGGGGAAGAGACAATTCTGCTATACACAAGCTTCTGTCCTAATGTAGGGTATGAGCTTTAATTACAAAAGAGCTGAATCTGGGGTTGGGGGTGGGAGAAATAATGAAGTTCTATGACTAATACACAATATTATACTTTTTTAAAATTATACCATTGCAACTTCCCTTGCTCCAATGCCCTTCAGATGTTTTAGGGTTCTATCAGCCTCATCAAGTATGGCCAATGGTCAAAGATGAGAGGTTTGCATCCCAAAACATCAGGGGCAGAATGTCTGCTAAGCAGAAAGATAGTGTACTGTTTGGTCTGAAATGTGGCTAGAGACTGAGGCTTTTGATCTAGGTTGCACTGCACGCAGCAATTTAGCGCCCCCCTCAAACATCCCTCCCCCAAACTTTATCCAAAGAGACACACAGTCTGGATGTGCAAATCCAGATGAATGTCCATTTTGTCTCTGCCTGCTCCATCAGGGTGCCAGGCAACAAAGGGCGACCTTTCAAATTGCACTTCAATTGCCAAATGTTTCTGCTTAGCTGTAACTAGAGCAGGATCCTCTAGGTTTGAGCTCAAGAGGACAGTCTGAACACTCATGGCAGCTGTCTTACTAAAAATCAAAAGTCCAGCTGTAGGCAACAGAAGTCAATTAGCCTTTATCTTGAAGAATAGCATTTTGTAATTTTAGGACTACTTGGCCCCAAAGATCTAGGTTGGTTCATATACGACTTCTGTACTTTGTTGCGTCTGATATATAATGAAAACCAAGGTCCTATATATTATTTCATTTGGAGATATATCAAGAAGGCAACTAGAATCATACAGAAGATCATAAAAAAGAAACAAAACATTTGGACAAGAAATTATTATAAAACTAACTGGGGAGGGGGTTGTGGGTGCTGTGCCTAATTTAATTTCAACTGGTCAGTCTGTCTCTGTCTTCATGTTTCTGTATATTATTGAGGATAGGATAGGAAGCTGGATATGTGTGGAGGGGTGCAGAAGAGTGCTTTAAAATCCTTCCACCCTGCCACGGGGCTGGTAGCATCCCCAGCCCCCAACACAATGCCCTCTCTTCTCAGTGTGAAGAAAACTTGAAGGTTAACAAAACTACAACTCAAGAGTACCAAATAGCATGCCCCTCCCAGCTTAGGAAGGATACGGGGATCACATTACAGAGTCAAGAAAGCTTTAAAAGACAAGAAAACTTCCACTGAAAAACAGAAGTCCTGCCAATATGAACTTTTTTTAAAGGAGCAAAATGAAGTTTAATCAAAGGCAAGCCATGCAAGAAGAATTTTGAAGGACATTTCTTCAAAGGCATAAAAATGAACAACAACAACAAACCTCCATAATACACCAGGAGTTGAATACTGGTCAGGAAGCAAATATGATTTTTAGATGAGGACAGAGAATGGGTTATCCTATCTAGAACTAATGGCAGTCCAACAGTATTAGAAAGCCATAGATGTGCTCCTCTCATGCTAACAGGGGACAAATGTGTCACAAGGTTTTTTTTCCTCTTGAGGAAACATCCCATAGAACTAGGTCATTTGTTTGAGGCTATCAACAAATGTGTAGACAAGGGTGATCTAGTAGACATGCATGCTTAGACTTCCAAAACTCTATTGGCAGCCTCCTTCACCAAAGGCCTTGAGTAAATGACATTGAGGATAACTATAGAGGCATCTCTCCATCCATCTTTCCACCCTCTTAGCATCTGTTTTTGGTGTGGGACATAACCCCATGTAGTCAGACTACACTCCTCTCAAAATAAAACAGAAGATAGCTTTGCCTGCTATTGACGTTGCTTCTCTTTGCATGGGCCACCTTGCACTACCAGTCATGATGGGTACTAGCCACCACTGTGGGGCAAAACAAATCCTCACAAACATAATGATGTGGTTGGAGCTGGCTGTGACTAACCAAGAAAAAAAAATCCTGAGTGTAATGGGTGGAGCACTAAAATGGCCAACTCAAGAGACTGAGACATACTTGTAGCAGACCCACTGAAATAAAGGGACTTAAGGTACCCATGGCTAGCTTAAGCCCCACTGATTCTTCAGCAGAGCTACTGTAAGGAACACTTAGCCCTGGAAAGCATATTGTAAAGGGCAACCACAAAGTGCCAAAACATTTATTTTTGTTTCTTACAAGAAAAAGGCTACATGGTTCTGTTTGGTTGGAACCTTTACTTTAGAAATGAAGATGGCAAAAAAAATGGCTAATGGTGAGAAGTACATAAAATTTTTAAGTAGCACAGAGATGGCAGATAGATGAATTTTTCTCCCTCAAAATGTTAAAGCTCAGGATCACCCAATGAACTTGGCCTACAGCAGATTCAGAATAAGAACAAAAAAGATATTGTGTTGTAGACATGAGGGACTTTACTCTTTTAAGTGGCAATGCCTTCTAGCACAGATGATGTTAATATCTATAACACAGATAAATCTATTAGACAAACTAAGGCTATTGGTGGCTCCCGGTTGCTAAGCAACCCCCTCAGCTTTCACTCTTGAGTCTTTCTCCTGGAGGATCACCTTACAGTAGGGGTAAGCAGCTGTGGCCCTCCAGTGATTTTGTTTTTTTGGTCTACAAGTCTCACTGTCCCTAGCCAACATACACAAAGTTGACAGATTAGGGGAGGTGACAATTTGAGAGATTAGGGGAGGTAACAATCAACAACGTCTGAAGGGCTCCACCTACCCATCCTTGCTTTATAGAACTGCTGTAAGGATTACTGCAGTAATAGATCTTAACACTCTGAAACCCCTAAAGCAGTAGTTCTCCAATATGGGTCCCCAGATTGTGTTGGATTTTATCTGCCATCAGCCCAACCAGCACGGCCAGTGATGAGAGTTTCTGGGAATTGTGGTGCAACAACATATATATTCCCAAATTCAGAAACCATGGTCCTACAATACTAGGTAAACATTATTAACAACAATTTTTCATTGCTGCTACCGCTATTATTTTTTTTATTGATACTAATACTATAATTGTTACACAGTTGGTGTCATCTTCTGAAAAATCTAACAAGTAGACAACATTGCAAAGAATGTGGGAGTGCATATTAAATATGTCAAGTGCTGCAGTTTATCAGGAAATCCCAACAGGCTCTGAAGTTTAACATTTGGGCCTACAGGGTTAAAAAAAAAAGGTCAAAGCTAATTCCCAAGAGACATTCATTGATCCATATGCCAAGATACTCCTATATAAAATAAAACTATCATCATAGTCATGTTTTTCACTACATCTTACAGGCAAGTTAATTCACTTGCGAGAGAAAGCCATGATTGCTGAATATTCTGAATGAAAAGTGGTATATTTGTGCTTATTGTCCCATCCAATCAACATTATTATTATCTTTTAACACACAAAATGAATGTCTGAAGTCCTGTTACTCAGCGTAGTGCAGTAACTGCAACTATAGCTCCATTTGAATCAATGGAATTAATACAGGGGTTGGCTCACCAAATCCCCAGTGACTCAGTAGTTCCAATCTAGTGTGATTTACTACAATAAGCAACAGGATTTTAGCCATTATTACCTTTCTTTTTAAAAAAAGAGAGAGAGATAGCATGGTGTGGTGGATACACTGATAAACTCAAAAGATCTGGGTTCAAATCCCTGTTTGTCTATGGAAACTCACTTGAAGGTGAAAATGGTAATATCTATCCCTACAGGGACGTGGTGGCGCTGCATGTTAAACCGCAGAAGCCTCTGTGCTGCAAGGTCAGAAGACCAGCAGTCGTAAGATCAGATCCACGTGACGGAGTGAATTCCCATCGCTTGTCCCAGATCCTGCCAACCTAGCAGTTCGAAAGCATGTAAAATGCAAGTAGATAAATAGGTACCACCTTGGTGGGAAGGTAATGGCATTCCATATCTAGTTGTGCTGGCCATGTGACCATGGAAACTGTCTATGGACAAACGCTGGCTGTACAGCTTGGAGACAGGGATAAGCACCGCCCCCTAGAATCGGACACGACTGGACTAAATGTCAAGGGGAACCTTTACCTATCCTTACATATCTCCCATATGTTGAAAACCTTGACAGCACACAACATAAAATATAAAAACACAACGTAAAGCCAGAAAGAGAGAAAATTATGAAATACCACCTAGATTGTTGCATAGGTCAAATGACACCCTTTTATAAGGCTTTTTCAGTGAAGGTCTGTTTGTTACTAAACTTCAGTGATCAAGCTCATAATTTTGATATTTCTTGACTGTCATTCCACCCAATTAAAGGGACCTCATTGCAGTGCCTCATCTCCTAAAGAAGCTGTTCCCACTGAATGCTCTGTCCCGAGGCCGCTTGCTAAAGAAGAGCTGCTTCCTGTGTTAAAGACAGCTTCACATTTGAAAACAGCATCATTCCAGAACCGCAAACTTTTAAGAGGCACTCACATGCCACAGTGGGGGCTATGGGAAGAAGGCGGTCTTGGAAGGCCCTTCTTCTTCCTCCTCCAACATTGCTTCTAACATTGTGTAGACACACACATGCACACACAAAAATAGAATGAAATAAAAAAAGAGAAACCTCTTTGAATGGGTTCTTTCAGTGCATCAGTTGTGCTTGCTTTGTGGGCAGCCCCCCTGCACATGCCACGGAGAAGAGGCTGCATGCTGACAGGGATGGGAAGTGTGGGTTTTTGCAGCTACAACTCCCAGACTTCTAGAGCCAGTGTGGAACAAAGTATTTCACTACACGCCCAAGGGCAGCAGATTTATCCAAGGGGTGCAGGTCAGCTTGTTTGGCCCATGCAGCTCCGTCCTCTGCAGGTCAGCTTGTTTGGCCCATGCAGCTCCATCCTCTGAATGAGGTGTGTGTGTGTGGGGGGGGGCTCAGGAGGAATGGACAGAAGGATGCCATCTCAGATGGCTG